ATGATCAGGCTGTGAGAGCTCTGACCTCATCAGTGGATTAATCCATTTAAAGGATCGAGAATGTGAACGGATCACCGAGTGGTAACTGTAGGCAGAGGTGATGTGGCTGGAAGAAGTGGGTCACTGGGAGTGTGCCCTTGGGGATTGTGTCTGGTCTCTTGTTCTCTCTCTGCTCCTGACTGCCATGAGCTGAGAAGCTCCCTTCTCCAGTCTCCTGCCACGACGTTTGCCTGACCTCAGGCCCATAGCAACAGTGTCCACTGACCACAGACTGACCTCTGAGATCTTGAGGTCAAATAAAATCTTCCTGTGAATTGCTCGTCACACAGAGCTGACTATCCCATAAGTGAAGACCGTGCGAATGAGAACCAGAGAAGCTGGCTCTAAGGAGCCCAGCCTGATTGGCCGAGGTGGAGAGGCAGGCCACGGGGAGGCTTTAGGGAAAAAGAGAAGGTTCAGGGGAGCCCCGTGGCAAGGTCCCAGCAGAAGTGGCCCCGGAGCCCTGTGGGTTGGGCAGGGGAGGGTATTTGTCTTCCTCTGGTTGGTTCTGAAGAGGGGACTAGAATGAGGGAAGCTATCAGTGATGGATCAAGTCCAGCTGCTCTGGGCCACCCGCAGCAGAGGGTGTGGGGCAGGGTCTGCGCAGCACACCCAGCTGCTGCGTCCATGCTCAGCCTTGACTTGGGTCTGGAACACCCCCCATTCATCGTACCACTCGCACTCTTGGCATGAAGTTGTTGCAGTGTTCTCTTATGGCTCCGTCTTTAATATTGTCTAGAATGTTCTCTTGTGGCCAAGCATGGCTATCCATGTCATGATCCCAGTGACACGGGAGGACGGCAAGTTCAAGGCCAGCTAGGGCAACTTCCTGAGACCCTGTCTCCAAGTAAAAGACAAAAGGCCGGGGCTGTAGCTCCATGGTAGAGCCCTTCCCTGCATGCACCTCAGTGGCCGCTGCCGGAGGGAGGAGGCTTTTGGAGGCCAGGCGTGCCCACTCTGGACTGGGGTGATGTTTGCAGAGCATGCCTATGACCAATAAAACATAACTACGTGCAGTTCGTCGTCTGTCGTAATAAAGTTCAAGTGGTCTTTCTGAACTTGCTCTTGACCCAGTCACACGGGTGGGGCCCCCTAGCTCTCGGCTCTACCCTGTCCAGGAGCTGGACTCTGGGCTTGGCCCCTCTGCAGCTTCAGGCTTGGGAGGGACAGGCACCCTAAGAGGGAGAGGAGGAGGAGGAGGAGGAGGAGAGGGAAGGAAGGAAGAGGAGGGGGAGGGGGACTAGGCTTCTGCATAGGCCAAGCTGAAGGTCCAGATGGAGTCCCTCAGGCCAAGCTCCCATCAGGACCTGAGCTACTGACCTGACCTTCCCGGAACCAGCCCTGGAGGAACAGCGGCCAGACCACACAGGCCACCGTCGACTGGCATGGGTGGAGGTGTCAGGAGGGCCAGCCGGTGGCTGCTTTCCTTTGCTGTCTCCCTGTCTCTGCGTTAGAAAGCAGCTTTGCAGGGATCATGGCTGTTCTGATGCCGGTTCTTTTCAGCCCTCTGTCTGGAACCCCTACCCCTACCCTTCCACTCAGTGCCCCCGACACGCACTCCCTCAGGCAGTGGAGGGCCACCCAGTCCAGGTTCCCGGTGCTCCCAGTCACCACGTGTCAGTTTCGGTTGGCTGGCCTTTGACAGCCCCACACAGCGCCCAGGGCACTCGGGGCCTTCAGTCCTCCACCTGCTCGCACAGCACTGACATTCAAGCCAGAGAACTCTTTCCTTTAGGTTCTTTTTCTTTTTTTTGGTACCAGGGACTGAACCTGGGGTCACTTGATCACTGAGCCACATCCCCAGCCCTTTTTAAAAATTTCATTTTATTTAAAGACATGGTCTTGCTATGATTTGCTTAGCACCTCACTGAGTTGCTGAGGTGGCTTTGAACTTGCAATCCTCCTACCTCAGCCTCCCAAGCCATTGGGATTCCAGGTGCGCATCAGTCTTCGGCTAAGTTCTTTTCTTTCTCTTTGGTACTGGCACTGAAACTAGGGGCGTCGTACCACCGAACACACCCCTAGCACCTTTTATTTTTTGAGACAGGGTCTCACTGAGTTGCTGAGGCTGGCCTTGAACTTGTGGTGCTCCTGCCTCAGCCTCCCAAGTCACTGGTGTGTGCCACCACATAGAAGGGCAATTTCTTGATCTGATGAAGGGGCATGTTCCTTTTTTTTTTTTTGGTGCTGGGGATTGAACCCAGGGCCTTGTGCATGCAGGGCAAGCACTCCACCAACTGAGCTATACCCAGTCCGAAGGGGCATATTCTTTAAAAGGTATAGCACAATAAAAAGCCATAAAGTATAAGAAAGAGACATTTGGTCACACATGGGCAACCATGCACAAATATGTATTGTTTGAAGCATTTTTTTTCATGCCATTGGTTGATTTACAACCACATCTAGCCACTATGAATTCAAGAATTTGACCTTTTTTTTTTTTAATATTTATTTACATTTTAGTTTTTGGCAGACATAACATCTTTATTTGTATGTGGTGCTGAGGATCGAACCTGGGCCGCGCCCATGCCAGGGGAGCGCGCTACCACTTGAGCCACATCCCCGGACCCTTGACCTATTTTTTAAAGAGGTTTCACCTCTTGGAATATTCTTCCGATTTGTTCAATAGATGAATTGATGGATTAAAGTGTCTATTTCTTAAGTAGCTGGTGTCTTATTGTAAAAAATCACGCAGGAAATACAGACCCAGAGTTGTCGTCAGTAACTGCCACTTGTCTCTAGGCACCACAGAGATGGAAGCCAGGACACCCCAACCCAGCTGGGTGCTGTCCAAGCCCGACAAGAGGCACAGACCCAAGGCTGGTTTTATCTTGAAAAAGTACACTCTGCCTGTTTTCTCTTTTGTTGCTTGTGTTTTGCTATCAAATCTAAGAACCTTTTACCAAATATGTGGTCCTGAGAATCTGAGCCAACAGACAATGCAAGCGGCCACACAGAATCCAAGGAGAGACTACGGTGTACTTCAGTGGTGAAGCATGTGCTCAGTGTGTGCAAGGCCCTGGGGTCACCCCCAGGGCCACATAGATATATGCATGTATGAAGAGAACTCTGACCCACCATCAGCCACAACCCAGTCAGGAGGCCAACTGCCCTGCAGTAGCTGGCCCAAGGCGACCAGACTCGGTTAATAACTGACAGCTCCTTAATATTCCTGGTCATGGACCCAGGGCCTCCTGCACGCCAGGCAAGCGCTCCACACTGGGCTCTCCCCGGCCCTTCCCTAACCTCCTGGCTCCTGACTCCAGACCAACCAGAGCAAGCCAAGCGTGCTCCTGAGGCGTCCCACAGGAGGCCCAGCCTCCCTGGTGACAGGGTTCACCTGAGCCTCCCTTTGTCCACTCCAGAGCCTCCCCTCTTCTCTGGCTGCCCCCTTGCTGGGCGAGCCCTGAACGCACAGTCTCCAGGCTCCTGGTGCGTCACAGCTCCCACCAGTAGGCCTCTACTCCACAGGTGGATCTGGGCCATTTCCAGGGACCTCCTGTGTGTGGCCAAGAAGGCAAGGTCCACTGTCCCTGTGCATGTGGGGCACCTGCTGTCCTGGAGCCCTGGCTCAGCTGTTCTCCCAGTGGAGCGCCTTGGCACCCAGCTGATGGCTGTCTTAGTAAATGACGGCTCTGTGACTGGTAAACCATAGAGTACGTGCGCAGGGCTGCAGCGGTGGGCAGCCCAGGGCTGGCAGGCGGGGCAGGAAACAGGACCGGGTGCTGGCCAGCCCACCACTTCTGCCTGGTTTGACTCCCACAGTGGCACTGCCCTCCGACTTGCCCCCACCCCCTTCCTGCTGGGAACTTTGCCCACAGCCCTGCCCTGTGGTTGGGGCCCCTCCCGCCCCACCTCTGCACCCTGCCCTGCAGGGATGGCTGCCAGGCCACCCCACCAAACCAGACCAGGCACTTCCCTCCCTCCAGGGAGGCTCTGTCCAGGCAGGGCTAGCTTCCATGCTGAAGAGGCTGGGGGACGGGCCAGCTTCCCGGTTGGCCCTGACAACCTGACGTGACGAGGGATTCTTATTCCAGGGCTCCCTGAGATAGTGCGAGCAGGTTTTGTGGGGCCAGGCCTCGCCTTGGCTCTTCCCAGGGGTGAAGAAGCAGCGCCTCCCTCTACCCCACCTGCCGCCCCAGCCAGGCCCCAGCTGCAGACCCAGGGAGTGCAGCAGCTTCCTGCCAACCAGGACCCACCAGGCCCTCGGCCCAGGGCACCACCCTGGTTCTGTTGCCCACAGGTGGGACCCCGACCAGCGTTAGGAAATGCAGGAGGGCAGTGCTCGAGGATGGCGTCAGGACTGCGAGCCCTGGCTGGGCATCATCACCTGCAGCGATGGCGACTCTGTCCTAAGGTGCATGGTTAAGAGACATGCACTGAAGCACTTACGTGACAGGTCAGCAGATCAAAGGGTCTCTCTGTGCTGCCCATCTGGCCTTGAGCTCCTGGCTCTTCCTGCCTCAGCATCCTGAGTAGCTGGGACCACAGGCCACACTGCTGGAGCCTGGCAGCACCTCCCAAACTGACATCCCCTTCCCCGACAGGCTGAGACTGCACCCCAGTTCCCCAAGCCTGCCCCGCCCCATGGTTCCAGCCCCCACCTCTCAGCTCCCAAGGTCTCCCTGGTCCCTTCTGGGCTTCCCAGACAACTGGGCAGTACCCAGGGCTGGCTAAAGCGGGCACACCCAGAGAGGCCCTCCTGCCCCACTTGGAGCAGCTCACCCAGCCTGGGACCAGCCCAGTGTTCCAGGGTCCCACACCAGCCACCTGCATGCCGGGGCTCACTCCCCACTTCTCCCTCCTGCTGGTGCTGGGGAGGCTGCCCGACCCCAGTTTCTCTGTCCACGTGTGTTCAGGCAGGGCCAGGTGCCTGCCCCACAAACCAGCACATCCTCCCGGCGCGGTGCAGAGGGGGCCCACGGCCCCTGCCAGTAGTGTGTGTAGGGAAGAGGCATGGAGCAGGTCTCTGTCATTTATTAGGCCCCTGCAGAGCTGCGCCACGGCACCCCTGGATCCACTAGCCCCATCCCGGGCCCAGTGCCAAGGGACCAGGGAGGCAGACCGGTGCCCAACCCCACTGGGGGGAAACAGGCAGCTTTGGTGAGGGTTTTTGGCTACTGGGGGGCTCTGGCGAGTGACCACCTGCCATACAGGGAAGAAAGTCCTGGAGGACACTCTGCAGCACATGGATGTCCCAGCTGCCCCCTCTCTGCCAGTGGGGGCCTGTCTCCAGGCTGCCAGCAGGGGAAGGCGCAGGTGGGCTTGGGCTAACCCCTGAAGGTAGCAGCGGCCTGTTGGTACTGAGAGGTTTTGGCAAAACTGACCAGTAAAGCGGCTGGAGCTGGGTGTGGGGAGGGCCTGGGGCACCAGGGCTGGCATCCTGGAACTGGCCGGTGATCTGGCATCTGGGCTCCTTTCCCTGCAGCAGGTCTCGGAGGGGCACTACCTCTGAGGACACCAAAACTACAGCCCCCTGGTGACACAAAAGTGCCCATGTCACAGCTGGCAAGCCCTGCCCCACCTGTCGCCCAAGGCCTGGGCAGAGGCGACTGGGAGCTGCTCTTCAGGCCCGGGCTGCCACCTAGTGAGCAGGAACAGGGACAGGAGCCCTCCCAGCTCCAGCAACTGGAACACCAGGGGACCTGGGGCCGCCCTCAGCCCAGAATCGGCCCCCTGTGGGGGGAGGGGCAGGCTAAACACCCACTGCGGGTGGCAAGGGGCCTGAGCTGGTGGGGCTCAGAGGGGACCAAGCCCCTGGAGGCAGCCCTGGCCCAGGCAGGGTTGGGAGGCCCAGGCAGCCCCAGTGTGGGGGTGGCACAGTGTGGCCCAGGCTGGGAAGGACAGGAGCCTGAGCCTGCCTCTTCCCAAGGGCTGCTCCTGGGGCCAGCCCCGCTGCCCAGCAGCCTGGGGGTCATCAGGTCAGCACTTTGACACCGAAGTGTTTCCGCAGCTGCTCCAGAAACACGAAGGTGAGCACAGTGTGGGGGATGAGCCGGACACCTGCGGGAAAGAGGCCCTGGGCCGAGACAGAGGCGTGAGGCCAGGAGGCCCGTGAGGCCAGGAGGCCCGTGAGGCCAGGAGGCCCCGCGGCCTGCCACCCCAACGCACCTTGTAAAAGGCCAGTGGTCCAAGCTTCGCGGTCTCCACAGCACAGTGGAAAACACCCTGCAGGAGATGCAGACAGGACAGAGCAGAGGTGAGCCTGGCACTGGCCGGCATATGGCCCCAGAGCAGCCCAGGACAGCAGCCCGTGGTTAACAGGAGCTAGAAGCCCAGGGCACCAGGCCCTGCTGCGTGAGCCCTGAAGGGGCTGCGGGCAAAGAGAAGGGGTCCAGGAAAACAGGACAGCGGGGCGGGAGCGGATGCAGCCTGAGACAGGAGGCCAGCAGGACAGGCCTCATCCCAGGAGAAGGCACAACCCTCCCCCACCCTGGCAAGGGAAAGCCCTGCCTCAGTCCCTCCCATCGCCAGAGGGGACACTGGCCAGCGGCCTCACCTGATACTCCCCCTTGGAGTTCATCAGGCGGGTTTTCAGCACGTCCAGGGGCTGGCACAGGAACGTGGCACATCCACCCTGGGGAGGGGGCTTGTCACCAACTGGCCTGCGGGCACCTCTCATACCCCGGCCCCACTCCAGGAGCTGTCTGCAGGCTGCAGGCTCAGGGACCTCAGGGGACACCAGGACTCATCCTAACAAGTTCCAATGCCCCGGAGCCACTTGTGTGACCCAGAGAGGCAGCACCAGGCTCACCCAGTGCCTCCACCTGCCCACCTCACCTCACAGGGTGCCCTCAGCCCTGGAGGCAGGGCCAGGGACCCAGCCCTTGCTATACCGGGCACTGACCGCAATGAAGCTGGCGATGAAGTGGGTGAAGGTGTTGTCAGACAGGTACCCGGTGCTGAGGACCAGCTGCTTGGCCTGGTCATAGCAGGACAGCTGCAGTGGGGGCAGGGTGGTCAGGGCCCATCACAGCCTCAGCTGGGGAAGGCCGTGACCAAGCACCGGCTCTGCCCACCACCTACGCCAGTGCCACACTGGGGACAGGGAGGCCCAGGCCCAGACCCAGGCTGCAGCCCTGACCACCTGTGCCCACAGGACAGCAGGTGCTCTACAATCCCCCAGGCATGGCAATGGTGAGGGAGGCTGCCCACAAGCCCCACCTTCCACAGGAGCCCTACCTGACCCACGGTGACGAGGGCCCCGCGGCTAGAGGCCATCGTCGCGCCGGAGAACAGCTTCCTCAGACCCTCTGCAGGAGGAAGGCCAGCCCTGAGCACACAGCGCAGCCCGATGCCCACAGCACCCCAGGTCCTGCACACCACTCCCCTCCTCAGGCCCCTTCCCTGGGGTCCCAGGGAGCCGGCTCCTCTCACCTTCACGCGCCACACGGTACAGGCCATCCAGGGCATGGGCATAGCTGCCAGGGACACAGAAATGGACCACCTGAGGCTCACCTTGTCCACTAGCTCCTGGGGGTCCTCCCTAGGCCCTGGGAACTGCTGGGAAACCATGATGGACATGCCCCTGGGGCTCCTGCAGAAGCCTCACGAGGACAGCCCCTCCTAGCTAAGCCACCCTGCCCTGTCTGTCCTGGGGGAGGTCCTGTTTTCCCAGAGAACCCCAGGCTCGGTGTGGCTCCCACCACAGAGGTCAGCACCTGCCCTCCTCCAGGCTGGAAGGCCAGAGGGACACCAGCAAGAAACCAGAAACTGCCTGGGAGTCTCGACCAGAGAGCGAGATGGCTCAGGCTCTGGCCAGGGATACTGCAGGCTGCTGGGAAGGACTGGGCTGCTGCAGCAGGAGGGGTGGCTGCACCCCAACCCACGTCACCACAGCTGGCCACCCTGAGAGCGGACAGAGAGGTGTGCCTGGGAGCCTCTTGGAGGGGGCATGCTTATCTCATGTGCCCTGCTCCAGGGTCTCTGAGGCTCTGGGCCCTGCACACACACCCACAGGGACGCCCGGGTGTGGCTGTCCCTCAGCCACGATCCAGGCTTCCAAGTCCATCCCCAGGTGTGGGCAGGTGTCAGCAGCTGGGGTCCAGCTCTCAACCTAGCAACACTCTTCCCATAAGGAAAGAATCGGGGGGCCAAGTGACTCCTCTAGCAGCCAAGTATGGTGTTTGCTCCCGAAAAACCATCAGCCCCCAACACCTGTTCCACAGGACCCCACAGGTGATGTGGCCTGCTGGAGTCCTGGCCAGGTGGCGCAGGGCTGCCCAGGGTACCCTGCCTAGCCCTGGCCCCTGCTGGCAGAGCCTTACCCACTACTCACTTGCGCCGCTGATTCGAGGGCAGCTTCATGTCGTTCTGCATCCTGAAATGGCAGGTAGGTAGACACGTGGCCTGAGGTCCAGGGCAGGCCCCGGGGCATTCACGCCCCTCCACCCCATTCCCAGACGCCAGGGTCTGAGTTGCCTGCTCCAGGGTGAGCATACTGCAGACTCCAGCAAGCCACAGGGCAAGCCCTGGGCTGTCTGGGGACAGGAAAGGGTACACACAAACCTGACATTGACCAAATCCGCGGGGGTCCCCACAAAGCCTCCGGTTAAACCTGGGGCAACAGAACCATGGGGCCACAACTTGTGACGCCTGGAGGCATCCGCCCCAGCCAGCCCCAGCTCAGCCAGCCGTGCTCACCACTGAAGCCGCCCAGGAGCACCTTGGTGGAGAAGGGGAGAGGCCCCTGGCTGCCCCTGGCCAGGTGGTCCCGCGCTGTCTCATAGATGGCAAATCGCGTCAGGGAGTAGGTCATCTGGGGAAGAGGGCCTGGCTCAGGACAGGGCACAACCCAGCCAGCCTCAAAGGCACGGCCAACACCCTGTGGTCCCTGGGGACATGGAGGGGCTGACCCCAGGCCACTCAGCTAGTGAGCGTGGAACCTGTCCACAAATCTGCGGTTGCACCACCCCCACCCACCTCAGCTCCCGCCCACCTCTGTGAGTGGCAGCCTGGGGTCCAGCCCCACACCCACCCTGGGGTCACTTGCTCCACATACACCTTGAAAAAGGCTGTAAGCAGCTTGAGCTCCCTGGTGTGCCCAGCAGGTCCAAGCTCAGGCTGCCCAGGAGGTGCCCACCTGTCTGCAGAGCGAGGCGCTCAGGCCGTTGTAGAGTGCCAGGACACCGTCAGAGCGCACCACCTGCAGCGCCATGCCTGTCATGCGCAGTTTCACCTCCTGCTGTGTCTGCAGGTGCACCTGGGGCAAGGGGGACAGGGACGAGGCTGTGGGGTGCTGCCTGGAGCCCCACTCCAGCGCTGAGGACCCTTCCAGGAACGACCACCGTGAGACCCCCTCAGAGACCCTCAGCTCAGCACTACCCGTGCCCCATCTCTAAGGCAGGGACAGTGGAGTCCCCCAGGGACTGTGTGCAGGGTGTCCCCGCCACACCTACCTGCTCTGATGGCTTATATCCCATGCAGAAGCTGGGGGCCATGGGCCACAGGCCAGCAGCCAGGCCCAGGATCTCACTCCCCAGGTCCCACCCTTGGCACTGACCTCAAGGAAGCCTGTCCACTGCCAAGCATGGTCCCCCTTAAACTTACCCAGGGGAGCCCCCAAAAGGATACGGGACAGCAAACATGGGTAGGGACCGAGGGGGGCCTGGAACCCAGATCAGCAGCAACACTGGCCTCCCAGGCGGGACAGAGGGACTGGACCCCAGAACAGTGGCCACATGGATAGCAGTCCCCGTTCATGTGACAAGCAACCACAAGGACCAAGCCAGCATGTGGGCAGAGTGAGACAGATCAACAAACTTCAAAACAGTTTCTCAAATGGCCACACCCTGAGGTCCTGGTGAGTAACCCTAGAGGAAAGCTCTGACCATGCTCCCCACTGGTGGGACACTGCTCCTGCCCATCCTTCACACTTCCCTCAATGGCCACCTCCCCTGCTGGCTCCAGGCAGTGTTCTGTAGCAAGAGAGCACCTAGGTGGGGTCAGGGGCAGGGCAGTGACGCCCAAAGGGGCCTGGACAAGGGACAACAGCAAAGGATTCCAAGGTCACAGTCTATCAACACCAGAGGGCTGGTGGGGAGGGGACTGTGGCCATCTGGAAGAGTAGAGAGAGCAGCCCCAGGGAGGTGCCCTTCCAGCCCCACTGCCCCCTGCTGCTCGAGGGCTTCTCCTTGGCCCACAGGCCGGATCCGTGCAGGCCTCTCGGGGCACACGAGTCAGCCCCATCCGTAAGGGGTGGCCAGCTTTCTTACTGATTAAGAAAGCCCACCTTCTCTTTAGAAAGTAGAAGTCTGCAGGCCCAGCAAGGGCCTGGACACCCAGGCACAGGAACCACCCGGAGGCTGGGTTACCAGCCCAGGTCACAAGGGCCAATCCCAACCAGCTCTGGGAGGAGGGGAGAGGCAGAGGGTGGCCAGGCCCGCTGTAACCTGCCCAGCGGCCACCGCGTGACCACAGGGCAGAGCCCCCTGGGCAGACTGGGTACAGCCTCAGGCCCTTCCTTTGTTCTCTGTTGGGGGTAGGGTCAGAGAAACACCCCTTGGCTGGCCCTGGGGAACAAGGGGAGCTCTGTCTTCTTTTGTTCCATAAGCACTTTTTTCAAAGGAAAAAGTGAAGCATGTATACTTCTGGTGCTGAGATGCCCACTCTGCTGGGAGCTGCACATATGCAGGGTCTCCTGGCATCTCTCCAGGGGCTGCGTTGACCAGACAGCCTTCCCGGGGCCTATACACACCTAGCAGAGGAAGTGCCCAAGCCAAGGGCCCGGGTCACCCCACTAACCTAGGCCTCAGCCCTCATTGCCTTTCCCTTCTAGCTCAATACAGTCACCTACCAGGCTGGGGGCAGCTGGGCCCTGGGCCAGGTGTGGGGTGCAGGCAATCTCTAGGACCCAACACCTGTGCATCCCAGACTTTTTTCCCCAGGGTACTGGGGACAGAACCCAGGAGTGCTTGCCTTGGAGCGGCATTCCCATCCCTCTTTAAAATTTGGGACAGAGTCTTGCTAAGTCACAGAGGCTGGCCCCAAACTTGTGATCCTCCAGCCTCAGCCTCCCAAGTCTCTGGGACCACCCACAAGTGTGTGCCACCGATCACGCTCACGCAGGTATTAAAGCGCAATCTGGACAGTCCCCTGCCAAGACCGGGAGCCGGTTGGCAAGTTGAGGGGCCAGCTGCAGAGGGTCTCTGGGGTTTTTCCACCCGGCCGGCAGGCCCAGGCCCTGGGCGCTGCGCAGGGCGACCGCCGCGCCGGCGCCACTATCCTACAGCTACGACCAACACGGGGTGCGCGGCCAGAGCGTCCCGGCGGCGGCCCGGCCGGCCTCACCTTGAGCAGGTCCAGCGGGTGTGTGCAGCAGGCGGCCCCGCAGGAGGCCAGTCCTCCGAAGTACCAGCGCGACACGCGCGCCTCGGCCGCCATGGCCCGATTAGCTGCAGTTCGGCCTGCCCGACCCGGCCAGATCTCGGCCGCTACCGCGACCCCGGCCGCAACCGCCCCGAGCCCGGTTCAAAGTGCCACCGCGCGCCCGCGCCCCGCGCAGCCAATGCGCCCGCGCGGCCCGGGGGCGGGACCCGCGGGACTCCGCCCCGGCGAGAGGGCCTGCGAGCCACGTCCCAGCGGGCGGACCCAGCGTCTTAAAGTGGCCGCGGGGAGGAGCCGAGCCTGGGACTGTCCGACCGAAGTCAAAACCGGGCCCTGACCGAATGACCACCTCCACTCCCTATATCCCGGCTTAAGATGCGGCTTCCAAAATCACTCTGCCATACCACATGCACTGGGAGGCTTGGCCCCTGGAAGCACCCTGGCTTCAGCGCAGCCTGAACTTGCAACCTGCACCACCTGTACCAGCTCATGTGCCACAAAGGCGAGGCCCTCGACCCCCCCCAGCACCCCTCAACCCGCCCACTGTGGAGGCGGACAGGAAATTTCTTTGGAGCCAGCTTGCAGATGAAGTAAAATCCAGGGGCAAAAACAATTAGTTAAGACAATTGCACCACCCTCAACGTCCAGAGCTCGCAGCAAGTGTCCAGTTCAGGCTTTGCTCTGACAGTCAACCCCAGGCAGCCACCCTGGGGGAGGCTGAGAGGTGGGTTCCAGGCCCCAGCAGGAGAAACCAACCGACATCTAGGCTCCCACCTGACCCCACTTCCTAATAGTGTGAGGAAACAGATGTACTCCTGGTTCAAGGTGCACCTGAGGCAAGGTGAAACCCAAGTCCCAAGGTTGCTTTAGGGGTAAGGCTTGGCCACTAGTGCCACCCTATTCCTGCCCAGACATAAAGGTGAGGCACTGGAAAGAAAGCCCTGGTCTCATGAACCAGCCAAACACCCATATAAGGTGACCAGCCTTGTCTGAGGGCCCAGTGACCCTCCACGTGGATGCAGAGCAAACCCCACCATGCCTATGCTAGTAGCCCATGTGAAGATGAGGAGACTGTCTTGTAGAACTCCAGGTGGACTCTGACCCTGCGGTCATGTCCCAGTCAAGCGCTCCTGTGTTTTCAGGTGTGTTGGGAGTACCGCCCACGCAGAGAGGTGTCGGGTGGACAGGGAAGTCACAGGAATTGTCAGGGGGACACCAGATGAGAGTGTGAACTGCGACCCACACCTAGCCAAGGCGGGGAACTGCAAGGAGATGTGGAAATGGATTTCACAGGTAGGACACAGAGTTAAGCAAAGGTGACAGAAGGCCTGGGGCAAGTGGGACCTAGAGATGAGGAATCAGGGCAAACAAATGCACCCAAGACTAGAAGCTCTAAGGTAAGTGGATTTTGCAAACTCCAGGTGTGCAAGCCCACGAGGATTCTCAACTGAATCCTCCAACAGAACATGTTTGTTCATAGGCTGAGGACTGGCTACCCAGCTAGGCCCTGGACCAGGCCCCGTATCCACAGCATGGGGTCCAGGTCCCTTGGCACACACTTCAAGGTGCTCTATATGGGATTTGGAGCCATACAGGTGGCTTAGCAGATCCCTGAGCAGGGGGCCTGTGGGGTGGGGTTGGTCAGTTACGGACTTTGCCCTGTCCTGTTAGACCTCTGCCAACCTGAAGAGAAAGATGCTTGTCTGATCTCTTTCAGGACTTGGTGAATCAACCAAGGTTTGGTTCTGAAGAAGGGAGCTCAGAGCACGTTGTGGTGGCTCAGGAGGCTGAGACAGGGGGATCCCAAGTTCAAAGCCAGCCTTAGCAAATGTGAGGCACTAAGCAACCCAGTGAGACCCTGTCTCTAAATACAACACAGTAGGGTTGAGGATGTGGCTCAGTGGTCGAGTGCACCTCCCCCCAAAAAGAAGGGAACTCAGGATTCCCAGTGCCACCTCCAGATGCGAGGTCCAAAGGTCAAGGCCAAGAGGCCTCCAGGGACGCCTGGGACACACTTCACCAGAAAGTAGTATCACTCTTCTATTTTCAGATACAAGACAGTTCCTTATGGACCACTTACAGTCTGGAGCAGGTGAAAGGGAGCTGGGGAGTCCTGGACTGTGGGGAGCCACTCCAAATGCACACACCTTGGTCCTGATGCACCACGGGGACCTCAAAGATCACTATAGAGTGGCTGGTAGTGCCGTGACTCAGGACTCCAGCTTTTCCCTTGCTTGGATATCAAGGCATGGCCCTAGGAGCAGGGGACGCTCAGAGGGGTTGAGCTGCACTCACCTGTCCCCTTGTAACCCTAACCCTTGCCTCATTTGAATGGCCTCTCCCCAATAAAAGGGTTCAGCGCGAGCTCCTCTTTGTCTCTTTCCATGGACCCCTAAGGTCAGAGGGGCCATCACAGGACCCAAAGATAAAGGTCTTTCTCTGTCTCTGAGTGGTTATTTCATGCAGCCCAGTTCACTGGAGTGACCCTGAGTGTCTAGCTGTGAACATGACACTGGACAATAAAGGGCCTGATCAAGGAGCCACCTGAAAAGGCCCAGGGTGGTCAGGGGAAGGACACCAGCAGACACAACTTGGAGGGACGAGTACCCGAGTACCTGCTATCAGGGATGGCCCCTGCTGGTGAGGTGGGCTGAGGCTAAGGCAATGGCCTGATGTCACGGTCATCTCCACCTTCAAGCAGTCACCCTCTGGAAGTCCAGGAGTGAAAGGCCCCCTTATCTGGGCAGGGAGCCACCAGTCCATACTGACTAGACTATGGGCTCAGCTCTCTAAGATGCAGGGGCCTGTCCCTGAGCTGGGACACTCAGTGCCTTCCCCAGGGTCAGCAGCATGTCTATTTGCACCCAGGCCCAGGCCAGCTCACCTTAGCTGAGGTGAAGCCAGAGACGTGCTGCTGGATACTCATTAACCTGAGGAACTGCCAGGGCCAGAGGGAGACTCCAGGTGGAGGCTGGAGGGCAGCAAGGACACTGAAGGCCCTTGGGAGGGGCCCTCGGGTGATGTTAGGTAGGCTTGACAGAGCCTGTCTGGCACTCCCACCAAGTGGGCAGAGCTGGGTGTGCCTCCCAGGGGCCCCTTGCCTAGCACTATGTTCCCCAAAGGGGGCGCTCTACAATCTATAGCCTCTTGCTCACAGGAAGTGGAAGTCAGCCTATCTAGGGCCAGAGAAGGACACTCACTGTCCCTCTCCCAGTCTTGCTGAACATGGAATTGTCTGAGAAGAGGAAGCCAAGGGTCCTCAGAGCAAGGCCCCTGGCCATTACAGCCAGCTACACAGCAGAGGCACTAAGGGGCCTGCAGCCAGAGGGTGGGCCAGGCCTGTCCAACAGCAGCCACTCAGTTCCTAGCTTGGCCAGGGTACTGCCAGGCCCCTTAACCCAGGCCTCTTCACACTCAGACATCCTGGTGGAGGGGGCGAAGGGGCAAGACCAGTCCTGGGAAAGTTCCGACCACACCACCCCAGGGGCCCTTCGTACCACCCACCCTGGGCACACTACTCCGCACACCCAAGCCTCAACAGTGTATTTTTCTCAGCAGCCACCAGAAGAACTCCTGTAACCCCATACCTTCTGAGGTGGCCTCCTGCGCTCTGCTCAGGCAGTGGCTTCCCTCCCCCACACCATAGCAGGTCCATCTTGTCCCTCCCAGACAGACTGCCACTAGGGCTAGTAACTCCAGCCCCCTGGAATCTCCATCTGGGAGCCTGGTGCTGGGGGTGGAGAGGGCAGGCAGGGCCTTGCCGGGTCCCAGGGACCCCAGTCCATAAGTCCTCAGAGGTGGGGCTATTCCAGAACCACCGTGCCGCCCACGGCTTCCAGGGCCGCCTTTATCTTCTCTGCCTCAGCTTTGGCGACGTTAGCTTTGATTTCCTGAGGCAGGGACTCCACCAGCTTCTTGGCCTGCCAGAGACAGACAGCAAAGTCAAGAGATTTGTGAGCCCTAGGCCACCATACCCAAGCCCATGTTGGAAGGGACCACCCCAGGTAACTGTCAGCTTATGCTGGTCCCAGGGAAGAGGGTTCAGGCACAGGAAGCCCACCTGGACGAGGTTTATGCCCTGGATGTAGTTCTTGATCTCTTTGATCAGTTTCACTTTGTCTACCGGCTTTGCCTCTGTCAAGCGGACAGTGAAATGTGTCCGTTCTTTCTGTTTTGGGAGATCTTCCTCCTCTGCTACCTTAGGAAGCAGAAGAAAGCAGGCAAGGTAAGAAAGGGTGGGGCGAAGGTGGAGCAGCTTCTCCTGGCTACCCCATGGGAAGTGCAGGTGAGCGAGGACAGGCACATTGCCAGCTTCCAGCCCCAGCAAAGTCTGGGTCGTGAGTAAACTGCCTCTGGGGGTCTTGTGACCAACGGATGCATTTCCTCCAGCACAGGCTAGTCAGGGTTTAGACCTGGCTCCTTCACCTAGAAACACTCCATTCCCTATGGGCCACTCTGAAGCCTGCCTCACAGGCCGGCAGAACCCCACATCCCGTAAAAAACCTCCTCATGAGACAGGGTGAGCAACACCAAAGTGCACTGTAGATGTGCAAGGTTCCAGGGAAGTAGTACTGGTCCTGTCCTCAGCCATGCAGGGGCAGGTGCCGATGATGAGCTGGATGATGAGCTGACTGCATTGACCTCGACCTTCACCCAGCAAGACTATGGGACAGATGGGCAATGGTGTTCCTGAGGTGACACACAAATAGCCAGGGCCACCATGAGCACCACAGTGTGAGATGCCCTAGTTTGGGCCTGCTGCCAGGTCATCAACAGCACTCTGTCCATTCTCAAAAGCACTCCAGTTTGGACAATGGATCGTATGACAATCCTACCCTTGCTTTAGGTGTCGGGCCTGAATCTGGCAGCCTTCTGGGTGTTCACAAGTGTTGTTCACAGGGTCGCCAGCAGGCCAGGCAGGTGCTCCACTACCACCTGCACCTCCAGCTAACAAGCCTTTAAAGACACTTCCCAGGTCTGAGGTGGGAGTGTGAGGATGGCCCCCGTGGAATCACCACCCATCCTGAGTGTGGGGTGTTCTGTAGGACCTGGCCTGGTGCAGACCAAGAGACCTGAGGGTAGGGACCCAGATGAAAGAGGCTTATCCCCAAGCCAGCCATCAAAGGCTGGGTTTGGGCTCCTTTCAGAAATACAAACTTGCTCCCAGCTGCCCAGGGGACAGAGCAGCCTGTTACCTGCCCTTTGCCCCCTCTAGCTCCCACTCGCACAGAAAGTCATGCTCTTGCCTGGGAGCCCTCCTATCTGGCCTCTCCTCTGGAGTAGGTGGGGTTAGAGGAATATGTCAACATGGCTGGCTGGGAAGCACACTTGTGACAATTTACCAGTCTCCCAAAAGAGACCAAGACAGGGCGGCCCCCAGGCCTCACCAATCTGTCATCTGAGCTGAGTCTCCCCCTTACCTTCAGGAGTTCATTGAGGTCTGAGATCTCCAGGAATGCTTGGACCTTTTTTTTTAACTCCCTTCAATTTTCCATGATGTTCCCTCCTAATCAAGGACTTCCTTGAAATTTTATAAACTTCTTCCCTAGTTTTTTCCATAGCACTTGCCCCATTTTACCAAGTGACACAAACATTCTTGGCAGGGAATTCCCTGGGTGTGCAGGGAAGCCCACAGTGGGAACCTGCAGAGGTGTAGGGCACAGGGGATGGCAGCTACAGGACCCCGAGATAGGACAAGAGAACTGTGCCACATAGTATGAGACAGGAGGTGAGCTGGGCATACAGAAGGCTTTTCTGTCCAGAACTGGCCTGGCCTTACCTCAGGGGCTGCTGCAGCAGGGAGAGCCCCAGGTATCATGCCACCGGTCGGCATGAGGCCGACATCCTGGATCTTCAAGGTTTTCTGTGGGGACAGAGAACAGTCTCAGTAGACGGCTGTTACACTCCAATTGTACTAATGGGGGGAAAGCCTAGCTTAGTCCTTGGACCTGGGGAAGCACCTCTGGGGATTGAGCCCAGAGCCCTGCACATGCTCTATCACTGAGCCACATCCCCAGCCCTTTTTAAAAATTTAAGACAAAGTCTTGCTAAGTTGCCCAGCCTGGCCTTGAACTTGAGATCCACTTGCCTCAGCTGCTGGAGTAGGTGGGGGTAGAGAAATATGCCAACATGGCCGGCTGGGAAGCACACTTGTGACAATTTACCAAACTCCCAAAAGAGATCAGAGACAGGGCAGCCCCCAGGCCTCACGAGTCTGTCGTCTGAGCTGAGTCTCCCGGTTACCTTCAGGAGTTCGTTGAGGTCTGAGATCTCCAGGAGCGTGAGGCTGGCGATGTCCTGGACGAGTTGCTGGATCTTGGGCGGGTACTCCTTGGGGGCGTTATCCAGGGGTGCCCCCGCCAGCGCCTCACCCCTTCGGTGGCTGCTGCTCCTCATCTGTCGCACGGCACAGACACCTGGCACCTGTGGTCTAGTCGCCCCATGCAAACAGCGTCAGCTCGGGAAGGGAAGGGGGTGCGCAGACATGCAAGCAGGTCCTCCAACACCGGGGCGGGAGACCACCTCGATCCTTGGGCCCAGCCAGGGGTGGGTGGCTTCCGAGCCACCTCGGGTTCCTCTGGGGAGCCCCCGTTATTTTGTGCAGTGACACCACCCGGAACGGCGGGCTTCTGGGCGAGCAAACTCCGTCACCTGGCCCAGGCATTTCGTTACAAGAACCCTTCCTGAAGGTGGGCCAGCGGCCGGCCGCCACCCACACTGACTGCACCCTGGGGACCGGGACGCCAAGGTCGCCTAGGGCCGAGCGGACCCCGCGGCCAGGCCCAGGAGGGTGGCCGCGCGCCCACCGTCCCCTTGCCCGATCGGCCCCACCGTCCGGCCCAGTGATGGCGCCCAGGGCCCTGCAATACCTGGCGAGACGGAGCGCGGAGGCCCGAAGCCCGAGGGGCGGCCCCCACAGGCGGCGGGCGGCCGCCGGTAGCATCGCTCCGGGAGCGAGAAGGTCACACGCGGCTCTGCGCGGAGGCGACGCTCTAGCCACGAGCAGGCGAGCTGGGCGGCCGCTCTAGCCCAGAGGCCTCCAGGCATTCGAGCTGGGCCGGGCCACTCTAGCCTCGGCGGCCCCGAGATTACCCACAAGGCGGCGCGCTGCGCCGCGCAGGCGCAGACTGCCACTTTCCCCCCGCAGGAGACCGGGGGAATCGTCCTGCGATCTCCAGGATCCCGTGCCTGACCGCCGGGGTCTTCAGAGAGGTAAGGGACGCCGCATGAGACTCGCCGCAGAGCCCACCCACAGCGGGCCGCAGCTCCGGCCGTGGCTCCTGCGCCGCAACCAAAACCCAGGTTGTTAGCTCCACTTCCGCTATGGCGTTGAAGGTGGGACCTCCAGGAAGGAGGCATAAGGGCTCTTCCCGAGTGGGTCGCCGCTTCTGCACCTGTCGAATGCCCCTGCCACGTGATGCTCTGCGCCGTAGGGACGCCCCAGAGTCCCCACCTACAATAAGGCTAAGGCCTCCCAACTTCCAGAACCGTAAGAAATAAATTGTTTTTACTAACTGTCCGGCCTCAGGAATTTTGCAATAGCCACAGTAAGCACACGGAAGCAGTGCCCAGCTGCCACTGGGGCTGAGCCAGGGCATGTTGGCCACCAAACAGCAAGTACTTTTTGAAATATATTTTATTTTCTGTTCTGCGTTGGAGGACAGCTGAAAAGCAGAGAGCCTGAAGCCCTCACCCTGCTGAGAAGTGGGGAACCAGGCCTGGATAGCTCACTGCCAGCTCAGAGTGAGACCAGAGCGGGCTGCATCAGGGCTCAGGGTCCCCACTCCAGCCACCTCTTGCAGGTTCCAACACACAGAGCTGAGGACTCTCGAGGACGGTCCTTTTCCTACCCGCTCCCGTCCCCGAGGCCCAGCCCTGGGGAAAGAAGTCAGAGACCAAGACAGAACCAAAGCTGGGAGCCAGTGGCAGAAGCCTGGGCTGAGGGCAGGGACGAGGACTGGGGCTAGAAGGGTCACACGAAGCAAGGGAGACAGCTAGTTAGACACAGGTGGTTTCGGTTGAACTGTAGTGTTACTGTGGATGGTCTGAATCTCCAGCCCAGGGTCAGTCGAAGGAGATGAGCTGGGCCTCACTGCCCTGTGCAGGAGGCCCCTGTGCAGGGGGCTGCTGAGCCACAGGGGGCTGCTGCTGGGGAGGGCCACCCGAGGGTGCCATCTGTGGGGCAGGAGAGGAGAGAGACCTGAGCCACAGTTCCCAGGGGCTGCACTGCAGCACAAGGTGGACTGTAGAAGCCGTCAACATGGTGCACGGAGCCCGGGAGCTCCAGCTTTCACACAGCTCCACGGGTCTGCCGTCTACATGTGAACCTGTCTCCTTGGCTTTCATGTCCTCATGTGTCTGAGAGGACCCTAAGCATGACCTTGTCTCCCCACGGGACTGCAGCCTAGGATGGCCCTACAGCAGTCAGGCGCTCATCCCTAACCCATCAGGCAACACAGGGGAGGTGGACAGGGAAGGGCTCACCTGCTGGTACACAGGCTGCTGTCCTGTGATGTAGGGCTGCTGGGGTGGCAGGGATGCATCTTGGCTGGGGAGGGTAGTCATAAGGTTCTGTGGAGAGTAAGATGAAGCCAGACACTGGGAGAATAGCACCGTGCCCTGACAGATGTGGGGCCTCTTGGCTTGCAGCAATCTAAAGCCCAACACCAGGAGCGTCCTGCCCAGTGCACCATACCTGCATGTTGTATGGCTGGTAGCCCATGGACACTGACTGGCTTCCCATGTAGCCCATGGTGCCTGGCTGTGGAGGCTGGGAGATGGCTGGGAGGCTCTGCGGGGCCTGGGAGGCCACGTTCTGTGGAAGGAAGTGGTGCAATGGGAAATGGGCAGGACCTGGGCCCAGCTGGGAGGGGAGCAGTCTTGTCTACATACCTGGTAGCCTGGGGTGGGAGTGGGCTGGTAGGATGAGTAGGCTGGACTCGCTGTGGGCCCCGCCTGGGCCTGGGGGGCTGCCTGTGCCCCGGGGGCCCCTGCCGGGTACATGTAGGCACTCACCATGCTAGGATCTGTGACAAACAAGATAGATGAGCTGCTTCTGAGGAGTGGCGAGGGCAGGGAGGCTGGACTCCCTTTTCTGAGGTTTTCTTTCTTTTTTGGATGGGGATACTGGAGATTGAACCCAGGGGCGCTTCACCACTGAGCCACATCCCCAGTTTTTTTTTTTTTTTTTTTTTTTTTTGAGACAGGGTCTTTGTAAGTTGCTTTGGACCTTGCTAAATTGCTGAGGCTCGTCTTGAACTTGCAATCCTCCTGCCTTAGCCTCCCAAGTCACTGAGATTACAGGTATGTGCCACTATGCCCAGCTCCTTTACACTTTTTGAGACAGGGTCTCACAGAGTTGCCCAGGCTGGCTTTGAACTTGTGATCCTCCTGCCTCAGCCTCTTGAGTGGCTGGGATTACAGGTATGTGTTACTGTGCCTGGCTCTGAGATTTTTTAGAACTTCATTTATCTTCATAATTTCAAAAGAGGACAATAAAGCCAACAAGGATGGGAGATGGTTCTAAAGTAGAATTAAATAAATGAGCCAGACTGTATTTGAAATGAGAGACAGTCACACTGCAGGAAGTAGGGGGAGCTGATCCTAGAGCATTGAGCCCAGAACCTTGACACCCTGACCTCAGGTCACAGACAACAGGAACTACAGATAAACGCTCAACTCTGGCCAGACGTGGCTTTCCCACTGCAGTCCAGCCTTCATGGGAACAAGCAAATAGATAACTATGTTGAAAACAAAGAAGAAACCCCACACTGTTGGATGGGGGACACTGGGATAAGCTTCTGGTCTCTGTGCAGCATGAGGACGTGTTCACATGCCACACGGCACACACACTTCCAAGTTCATCAGCCAACAGGACTGAGAAGCACAAGCACACCCAGAAGCCAGACCATGGCTTGTAAAGGCCACTCTCCACTAGAAGGAAGCAGGCTGTCCAAGAATGGACAGGTCAAGCAGAGTATGGAGTTGACCTGCCTCAGTCAAAGTCATAGGAGCCAGCCCAGGGCTTCCACAGGCCACCCAAGCTGGTGTGAGCAAAACCAACAGCGATAATGAAGGATTGTCTTCTGAAGGAGGAGCCAGTGAACCCATCTGACATAAAGAACAGAAATGGAGAGGGAAAAGCCCCTCCTTCCACTGGAAAGTCAACGGCACAATTAGGCACTGTCTGCCAAAGGTCAAAAAGAGCCACTGTGACGCACACCTGCAGTCCCAGATACTCAGAGGCTGTGGCAGGAGGATCTCTTGAGCCCAGGAGTTTGTGGCCAGGCCATGTAGCACAACAAGCAATCATACATTCAGGCAAAATTTAGCAAGAACTACTGAGGTGAGGCAAAAAGATTAAGGAGTACAGATATCTGCAGAGTGTTCATCTCCCTCCTCAGACACCTGCTGACGACAGAGGAATAGGCACTGTCTGCAGAGATGCATCCAGAGGCGTCAAGCGGCCATGCTGGGACAAAACAACACACTGTGTCCCCCACCTGACAGCTCCCTCCATGCCAGAAGTGCGGCCCAGAGCACCTTCAGGCAGAACACACCTGCATGGGGCAGTCTGCTCACATGCCAGGGCCAAACAGCCCATGTCTGAGGGATGAATGTCCTGGAGGAGCCGTACAGGGCCTACATGCAGTGCATTGTCACTAGCGCCTTCTGTGATGCCCTCCCAGCCTGTGAGCACACGCCCTAGTATCAGTAAACATGTCTGGGTGAAGGTATCGCCTGCCCCTTACTGTCAAGGCAACTGAGGGCGTGCACATGCGGAGGAAGGAAAAAGCAGACATGAGAAAATGTTCATGTTTAGGAAATCTAAAAAATTATTTGCCTCATTCTCTCAACTTTCTGTTTAAGTTGGGCTAAAATAAAACCTAAAGAAAGCTGTGGTCTGGGGCCACCTCTGCCCTGTGGGTACCTGCCGTGGTGCCAGGCATGCTGGGGTAAGGGCTGGCAGCTGGGGCTGCCTGGCTCATGTACACGCTGTGCATGGGGGAACCCTCCACTGAGCCTGCTGGACTGAAGGTGCCAGGGAAGCTGGTCGGGCCCGAAGGTTGGTAGAGCACGCCCCCGGCTGTGGGCATGGCCTGGAGCTGGGGACAAAGAAGACATGGGGTGAGAGAGAGCCTCAGCCAGCAGGGGTGGGGGCAGATGTACATGGGTATACAGCAGGGGGCAGGTGGGGCGGCACATGCCTGGGCATAGGGCAGGGGGAAGGCAGGCATCTGGGCACGCATCTGGACAGTCTGCTTCTGCTGCTCCAGGCGCATTTGCCGCTCCTTCTCCTGCTCCTGTAGGCGCTGGATGGCCAGCTGCCTCTGCACCTCCAGATACTCCTGTGACAGCCACACGGTGGGCGGGTGTCAGGCAGGCCCAGGACCCCCCCACCCCCACGTGGGGCCAGCCACTGCACCTGCTTCTTCTGCCGCATGATCTCTAGCTTCTGGGCTAGCTGGATCTGGCGCTGGCGCTCAGCCTCTTCAGCTGCCCGGCGTAGTTTCTCGCGGTGTTCCTCACGCAGGGCACTCAGTGCACCCCGGGCATCACGGATCTGTGCCAGCTTGTCCTGTAGCCCCTCATAATACACTGTTGGCAGAGGGTAGGACGGCCCTGACCACTACAGCATAGGGGCAGCCCTGTCAGCATGGGCTCCTGCATTTCCAGCTGATCTCAGCAATCAGCAAGGCCTAGCCCAGCCCACCTCCCTAGGGGCTGCAGGCCCTGGGCTTCTGGGTTGGAGGGGACAGACAGTCCTGTGCTTGGCAGAGTACAGCAAGGCAGAGCCCTTCGCTGCGCTGCGGCCACTTCCCATGGCAGCCCCATGGTGGAGCCCACGGCTTTAGGGAAGGACAGGAGAGGAGCGCTAGCTCTCCTGGGGCAGGCCCTATGTCCAGCAGTGGACAGGGCTGAGCACGCAGCGCTGCTCCAGACACCCCACCACCCGGGAGCTGACAACCTCGAGGTCCAAGGCGCGGGCACCTACACCTGCGCTCATCCAGCTGGTTGAGCAGCTCGAGCAGCTGCGGGTGCATGCTGGTGAGGGACTGGAAGAGTGACAGCACGGCCGAGTCGTTGGTGATGCTGCGGCCCCGCACATGGTTGCTCTTCATGCGGTTGACAAAGGTGGTGACGGCATTCTGCAGGGCCTTCAGGAACTGCTCGTGGCTCTCTTCTGACCCTCCATTCTGGTACTGCTGTTGGGGACAAGGCAGACAGCTGAGCATGGCCATGATGCTGACTAGGCCAGCCTCCCTTGGGCACCGGCCAGTCTATAAGGCCTCAGCAAACCCCCTGCGGAGGTGGCACACGGGCATCTGGACAATGCCTGTTGTGCTCAGAGCCTGGAGCAGACCATTAATTGGGTCTCCAATCTGCTCTACCAGGCAGGCACCATTAGCATCCCTGGTCTACAGACAAAGCAATGAGGCCCAAGGTTGGGCTTCTGTCCACCTGCTCAGGGACAGTCAGGTTGGAGCTGGCTGGGAGCCCCTGCCCTGGTAACACGGGCCTGGTCTGACTCAAGGCAGACAAAGCCCAGAAGCCCCAAGGAGAGGGAGGAACTCCTCTGGGTAGGCCTGGGCTGCTCAGAATATGGGGTTCATGTTAAGTCCACACAGAGTACACAGGTTCTCTTCTGAGAAGCCACATAGGCATAGCACGGCAGGGTCAGAGCTGATATCGGGACTGCCGGTTACAATGGGCCCTGGAGGGAGACATAACTTACCTCACTAAAGGGGCCACTAGAGGGAGTTATGGGCTGAGAATCTGTCTCCGGAAGGGGAGCCTGTAAGAGACCAGAGGGTTAAGGGGGCCTCCATCCAGCCTGCCCTGGACACAAACCCCCGGAGACAGGCACCAGGAGTGCAGAGTGGCCTCTCACCTCAGCCACACCGGCAGGGGCTGCGTGCCCCTCCCCAGGCTGGGTGGCTGGCTCCGTTAGGGGCACAGGCGCAGATGGCGTGGGGCTCTTCCGAGCCTCCTCTTGCTTCTTCTCCCAGTAATTCCGGTTAAGGTACCGCGCAAGCTGCATGGCAATAAAGGGGTCACTTTCATAGTCTGGCAAGTGTGAGAGGACAGCGTGAGATGCAGGGCCCTTACCTCAGGGTCGATGTCTTCAGCCAGCGGTGCTGATGAGTTCTGGGGAGACAAAGAGAGGCCTGAGGGGTCACAGCCAAGAGGAGTAGCACAAGGCTCCCAAGTGACCCAGGCAGGGGCCTGGGTAGTGCCACATGGCCCTGGCCCTGAGTCCCCATGCCATGCCTGCTTGGTGCTGATAGCCATGGCTTTACAGGCTCCCCGTGGTACAGGCGCCAGGGCCACCCTCTCCTCTCTGGGGTGGCACCACCTTAAAGTCTTAGAAAGGCTCTGACATTGCCACCACTGGGCTCTGCAACATTGCTAGAAGCAGCACAAGTGACACCTAGCTGGCACTCCCATTAATTCCCAGGGCCAGGCCAGAACAGGGACGGCCCACTTGGCCCTCACACAGCACTGCCTGGGCCCTGCCGACAGAAGGAAGGAGGAAGCGCCACAGCCGGCCAGTGGTAGGGTTGCTCCTGGCCCAGAGGCCCAGCTGTGGCCCAGACCCACCAGAGCCCAAAGCTTGCACGTGACTTCCCTGACCTGCTGCAGCCTGCCTGATGAAGAGTGAGGCTTGGCCGGAGGAGCAAGGTGGCCCTGTGACCAAGGGCTTTAATGCTTGAGGGTGCACAGGTGTGTGAAGGGACAGGGTCTAACCTGCGGGGCCTTTGTTCATATCCTCAGCCCCCACAGGGAAGCCCCGAGCCAGGACAGCCAGGCCCTTGGTGTCCTCCCACCTGCCTCCCACCTCCCATAAGCAGCATCAAGCCACCTGGCTGGGCACACAGCAGACTCACCACGGGTGAAGAGTACAGGCTGCCAGCTGGGGGTGCCGACGACGCCAGTGGGGTGGGATCTGCCTTGGGATGTGCGCTGTATGTTGACTTCTGTCTCTGAAGCAGAATGGGGAAACAGTGTCACTGGGCGAGCACAAGGCACAGCAAGAGAGGTGGGCACTGCACACACGTGTGGCCCCCAGGCACAGTGCGGGGCACTGCCTAGCACCTCCAGGGAAACTGGGGGTCCCCTCCTGAAGGCTGACTCCCACCACTCACCAGCCTCTCCTTCTCCTCTGCCTCTGACTGCGACAGGGCCAGTGCCAGCTGCAGCTCCTCCTCCTCCTGCAGAGCAGTCTCATCCCGCTTAGGGGGTAGCTGAGGACAGCAGGGCAGGTGAGGGAGGCCCAGGGGAGGGGCATGCTGGGGACTGTGGGGGGACTGCGTACCTGCGACTGCTGTGACAGGGGGCTGGTCAGGTACTCCGGGGGCAGCTCAGTGGTAGAGGTGGACTTTCCTTCTGCTTTCCTGGAGGCAAGATGGGATGCTACAGGTAACTGTCCACTGACACCTGCCCCATCCCCACCAAAGTTGTCAACCACCCAGAGCTTCCTGCACACTATTCCCATGAAGTGAGGACAGGGATCCCACAGGCACATGTAGCCCAAAGGCCATGCTCCAGGGAACAGTAGGAGCAGCTGTGGACCCTGAGCCAGCCACAGGGCACCAGTAGGCGTAAGCCATAGTCCCTCTCCTGGAAATGGTGACTCAAAATCCCACCTGGCCAGAACACCTGGAACTGCCCTCGGTGTCCTACCTGTGACCAGCAGCAGGCCTCATCCCCAGCAGGTTCTAGGAAAGGCTGCAAGACCTTTCATGATCACAGAGCCAGACCAGGCCTTTTCTAGAATTCGACCTGGAGCATGCAGACCTTCTCCAGAGCAAGTGGTGGCTGAGGGCCACAGACTTGCAGTGCATTCAGAATTCCCACAGCAAGGGCTGGGGTTGTGGCTCAGTGGTACAGCGCTTGCCTCGCATGGGTGAGGCACTGGGTTCAATTCTTAGCACCACATAAAATAAATAAATAAAGTAAAGGTGTTGAGTCTGTCTGCAACTAAAAAAATTTAAAAAAAAATAAGATAAAGAATTCCAACAGCACGTGCAGACCCCTCTCCAGAGTGAGCAGGTTCATGTGGACCAGAGAGGGGAGGAGAGGGAAGGGTGAGCAGAGTCAGACAAGTGTGGAGCCCTGAGCCCTCCCGTAGAGGACACTGGTCGGGCTCATGTGGGCTCTTGCCAATCACAAGGTAACAGAGCTTTCCAGGCGTCGTGCTTGGGTCTGAACTGTCCCCAGAGACTGCTGTGCTGAAGGCTTGGGCCCCATGCAGCAGTGACCAGATCTAGGGGCTCTTACCTCATCAATGGATTAACCCATTTAGAGTCCATATTTCTCCTGTGTGTCAGAGCTGGGGATTGAATCAAGGTTCTCCAACACTGAGCTACTAGCCTGGAATTTGAGAGCCTCCTGCCTCAGCCTCCCAAGTTGCAGGCATTACAGGTGTGTGCAACTGTGTCTGGCTGGATTCACAATTTAACAGGCTATTGGGAGATGGTGGAAACTCTAGCAGGTGAGGCCCAGGAGGAGGAAGTAGATCACTGGGGTGTGCCCGAGGTGAGATTTCTGTCCCCAATTACTTTCTCTCTCTCTGCTTCCTAGTTGCCATGAGGTGAGCAGCTTTGCTCCACCTCATGCTCCCTACCAGGCTGCTCTGTCACACAAGCCCAAGACAATGGAGCTGGCCATCATGGACTCAATCTCTAAAACCCTGAGCCAAAATACATCTTCCCTAAGTTGGTTTTTTTCCTCAGGAATTTTGTCACAGTGGCGGAAACCCGACAAACACGGGGAGCGATCTCCAGATCCAACACACCAAGTGTCAAGGTCCACAGGACCGGGGGCAGACTCAGACAGGGTCTCCACCTCATTCCTGGGGTTCCTGCCAAAAATGCAGGTCCTGGCCAGGCACAGTAGC